TTCCAATCCTCAGGGATCTCCCCTGTGTGCCACTATTTCTGAAACAGCTTTGCCAGGGGTTCTGCGATGACCTCGGCCAGCTCCTTCAGCACACTTGGGTGAAGTCCATCCAGTCCTGCTGACGTATAAATGTCTAGCTTTTCTAGTTGGTTTTGCACCAGTTCAGCATCCACAAGGCTGTCATTCCCACCATACCCCCTGTGGTTCTTATCTTGCACGTCTTTCCCCTTGGTCTGAGGAAATACCAAAGAAAAGTGGGCATTATGGAGTTCAGTTTTTTCCTGAGTGTCCAGCTGTCCCGAGGTGTTCAGCAGGGGCCCCATGCTTCCATTTGTTTTCCTTCTGCTCTCTACATACCTAAAGAAGGACTTCTTATTGTCCTTGACTCCCTCGGCTAAGTTAAACTCAGTCGCCGCCTTAGCTTTCCTAATCATTATCCTACAAGTGCAGACCACTATTGTATAGTCCTCCTTGAGGACTGTCCCTAGCTTGCACTGTGTGTATGCCTCTTTTTTTCTTTTGAGCCAGGAGGGCTTGCCAGCCCTTCTGCTACCTTTCCTCTTCATGGGAATGGTTTTCTTTTCTGCTTTGAGGATCATGTCCTTGAGGAATGACCACTCTTCGTGCACCCCATTCACCTTCTGTCTCTGGTCCCACATTGCCTCCCCTACTAATGCCCTGAGGCTGTTGAAGTCAGCATCTTTTAAGTCCAGGACTTTAATCCTGCTGGTTGATTTGTCAACCTTGCGGTGGACAGTGAACCTGATGAGCTTATGGTTGCTGTCACCTAGGCTACCTTCAGTGTTCAAGCCACACACCAGATCATCTTGTTTGGCCAAGACCAAGTCTAGGAGAGCGGTACCTCTGGTTGGCCCTTGCACTTCCTGGGTCAGAAAGAGCTCCTTGATTACAGTTAAGAAGCTACATGACTGATCCGACCTAGCCAAATGTTCTTCCCAATCTATGTCCAGGTAACTGAAGTCTCCCATGACAACTAAGTCCCTTGCACACACAACCTCTGTCAGTTCTTGAGAGAACTCCAGATCTAGCTTCTCCCCTTGGTTTCAGTGGCCTGTAGTAAACATCCACAGTTAGGTCTCTCTCACCTTGCCCCCCTGAAGCTTGACCCAGAGGGTTTCAAGCTGCTTATCTTTGGAGCCAATGTCAGCCTCCAGAGAGGTGTACTGCTCCCTCACATAGAGAGCTACCCCTCTGCCTTTTCTCCCTGCTCAGTCCCTTCTTTGCAGGGTGTATCCTTCTATGGTTGTATGACTTCAGTAGAATAGGGTTGGATGACTTCAGTAGGAATAAGCTGCCTTACTGCTCTGGGAATGATTCCTCTAGTCCTTTGGGAAAAATATTATTAGACATTAAAGTCAAGTGTTGATTTACATAAGAATTTTGGTGAATCTTTGACAATTTGCCTGGTGCTGCAAAATTATAAACTTGTAAATCAGAGTGGGTTTAGCTAAACACTGATACAGTGATGTGGCATTTTTGTTTAACATGCTTAACATTAACTACCTACTACTTTTGTTTAACATTAACTATCTACTTCTTTCTTTTGCCTCCCATTATAAAGCTGTCTGAAGGCAGGCATCATAAATAGCAATGGTTTTCTTCGGGGATAATTGATTAATCTGATAAAGTATCATTAGCACAAACAAAAAATATGGTGGGCAAGATCACCAGTGCCACAAGTAACCAAGTTTATAATGGTAATAAGGTCTATTTTTCATTCCATTAAATACTCATAGGGTACTTTCTAACAAGCACACACATGCAGTTTGCAGCACACATGCACCTGTTTGCTGCACTGCTAATTTGCAGCATGGGTGTGTGTGTGTGGGGGGGGAGGGTTGACATCAGAAGTTGCAAAACAAAAAACACCACTAAAAAGAGTGGCACAGCATGTGCGCCTCCAGAAACAGAGCCTGCCCAGCCAGAGCCATGCTCTGAGCATCTTGGTTAACACCACTGCTGCCCCAGCAGGCTCCCAGTTATAGCCTGAGCCTCCCGTACCCCACCTAGGGCATTTTGCCACATGCTGGAGTGTGTATGCAGGGGTGTGCCTGGGGACAAATGGCAATGGCACAAATATAACAGTGGGAAATGGACACCACTGCACAGGTGTGCTCACTGGGATGTGCCCATAGAGATCTTTAGGTTCTAGGTAAAGTTCTTGAACACATGCCTTTATCAATTGAAGCAGGAATCATAGCTATAGTTACATTTGCTCACATACCATACGCACCTTTCCCCCCCAAAAATTAGTCCTCCAAAATTGTCTTAAGTGGGGAAGTGGACCTTTTCTTCTTGAAAGAGATGCATGGAGGGGTTTTTAAATGGCTGCTGTCTCTCTTATTTTGCTCCCCCCTGGATGACCTTGTGGAAGGAGAGGAGGAGCCCAGTTTTGAGCAGCTATTGAATTTTTTACTTTTTCATGGCTGCTGCTGAATTTACAGCAATTTTTGGCTGTTGAGCCAAAAGTTACTGCCAATTTGGCAGCAGCTGTGAGAGGGTTAAACCTGTAATTTTTACCTGAGCAGGAAAAGACAGGCAAATGAGCTGAAGAGTGCTGGCTTTGGAAAAATCTTTTTTTCCCTTCATTTTACCTTCTCAAAACAAGGTACATTTCTTATCTGGGGATATGGTATATGAAGAAAAATTGTTTGTGACTTTTCTGACTTTGGAAAAGGATTCTACTGCTTAATTTCCAGGCTCAAAATCCTTGCCTTGAACTCCTTGTGCTCTTTTACTGAAAAAAAAAAAATCCTTATGTGACTGGCAGAGGAATTATACAATTTGAATAAAATATTCCTGACCCCTTAAAGTTAAAGTTAAATTGTTATAAACAAGCTCAAAGCACAGAACACATTATTTTACCTTCTTAGATATTGTGCATTGAGTTTTTAATAATTATTAGAATTAGCATGTACTTTCAAGTAACACAAGCGTGCACAGCTCAACAACCATATTTCCTAAGTCATTAAATTAATGAGGCTCCAGCTAAAGCAGATTTTGATACAGCTGCTGGATAATATTGTATTAGATATTGTCATCTCATTATGAGCAAACAAGTTGGAGTGTCTGGTAGAATGAAGATGGGTTTAAAGTGACGTTTTCAAAATAATTTGCATCTGAACAAATCTGACCAACATGTATGTTTTTAAAATTCCCTTTTTTTTACAAAGTACTCCCCTCAACATGCCGCCGGCCCTCACAGCAAAAAAACTGCCTTGTCCTGAGTGGTGCCAAGTCGGGGGCCAATCTCAGGGAGGGCACGTGCCCCACCATGCCCTTACTACCAGTCGCCTGTGCTTATGGCCTCAGTGCACAGTAAGTGCAGGGTGGCTTACTCTGCTTTGAAAGCAGACACACTTTCAGTGTAGACTGTCATTAATAAATTCACACCTTAGCTGACTGCATACTAATTTCCCTGTGTAGACAAGCTCTATGAGGACAGTAACAGTAGCAAGTGTAACACTTTTACACAGAAATATGACATTCAAAATGACACTGTCCCTCGAACATGCACAACCAAAGCTAATTTTTAACAAATGTATTTTCTAGGGTGTCATGGTAGGAATGGGCCAAAAAGACAGTTACGTTGGGGATGAAGCACAGAGTAAAAGAGGGATCCTAACACTGAAGTACCCCATTGAGCATGGGATCATCACTAATTGGGATGACATGGAAAAGGTGAGTGTTTTGTTTTTAACTTCATTTTTTTGAGTTGTTATTATTTGATTTGGGGAACACCTACAATACTTTGGGCTACTTTCAAACAGAAATAAGGCCAAATCCTTACCTTAAAAACTCAAGACAGGTAGATGAGTTAGGGAGAAATGTGTACAATGTAGAGTAGGCAAGGACAAGACTGGCCATGTCATAATCATAAGGTTATCATATGCTGATGTTTCTTTCAAGTTGTATATCTAAACATTTTAATTACTCCTCAGTTTGGCAGTGTGATATAGAAATACAGTAACTTCATATGCTGCTTTTGCAGTAACTTGGGACCAGTTTTGAAGTCTATTTAAAGCAAAAGTGCCTTTTGATGATGACAGGGGTTTGGTCAAAGTAAAAGTTTTAGATTTTGATCCCTATTATCTAAATGGAGAAACATGAAATCATTCTTATTTCACCATGAAAGATAAAAAATACTGGTTAGGGAGGACGAGTCCTTTCTTTTGCATCCTTATCTATAGACACTGCGGATATGATTGTGTTCTTATGACAAGACAGCATGAAGGATATCTTCATTTATATTTACATTGATCTCTAAATGCTTTAGTTGATATAGATAAAAGGAATTGGAGAATAGGAGAGGAAAAGTTCAGAAATTCACCTCTAATCTTGTCTTCACAGGTCAGAGTATAATTATTTTTTCTAGAGAATGTTGTTATTTTGGGGTTAGGCTCAAGGTGACAAGGGTTTCTTTATTCTCTATTAAATATTATTTTCAAGGCTTCAGTTAATGGGTACAAGGACCACTTCCATGAAATTCACCTGAAAGGAGGACCCAGGACAGACTGTGCTTTTGGAAAGACCATTATAGCCTCAGAAGATATCAGATATCTGCATGGATGGTTGTTGGGGCCTCACGAGTTTTGAACAATATCTTCACTCTTTCCTAGTTAGGTTTTGGGGATAACTCCACAAACAAGGCCTCCTGTAATATTTCTCTCAACAAGACCCACAGAAAAGGGGCAAACTGAGCCTCTATTCCTAACCTCTCCAAGTCCCGATGTTCTCTTTGCCCTTTGGTTTGCACAGAATACATATGCAGGTAACTTGTATGTGCATAACATCATATCATGAAGCTAAATTCTTTGAGGTTCATAAAACCCTAAATCAGCATCTTTCAAGTGTGCAGAACAAAATTAGCTTGGAAATTATAGGATTTCCCTAGTTTATCTATGTAAATAAATTGCATTCTTTCTCCTCTAGGTGGAAGCATAGTATTTGCATTTCTTCCTTTCATCAGTGCCTCATTTCTCTGCTGTATTCTGTCACTGTTCATCTCTAGGGGGCAGAAAGTCAACTCCTCATCTCCTTACGAAGCTTCCATATGTTACTGAATAATTAATTATTCTGTCCTTGATATTGAACAGGAAAGTATGTTCTTTTTATAGTAAAAAAGAAACAATAGTCTGCCATTCTCCTCTGTGCCCTCATTGGACCCCAAGTACATTTAAACCAGTAGTTTTCAACCTTGTTAGACTCAAGGCATGCCTTGAAAAATGCCAGTTCTTAGCTTTCACTCTTTTTTTTTAATATGAAAAAATAATAGAACAATTGTACTGATGCAAATATCTTAGACAGACCAAAACACGTTACAATGATTTCAACATTATAGTTTTCTAGTTGAAATTTCTTTTATTTTATAAACCATGGGTAGGTATTAGCACATCTAATATTATGTGGCAACCTGTGGTACCCCTAAAAGGATCTCATGGCACCCTAGGATGCCACAGCACTGATCTAAATATTAAACAATGTAAGAACAGATACTAGAACAGTCTGAGGAAGGTAGAAAAAAGAGAACCACATGAGAGGCAGGGTGGTTTATGACTGTGTGAGAAAGTGTTGCCGGGGTAGTGGTTATCAAATTTTTTGCCTGGAGGCCTGGATGGGTTGATCCCAGTCTGTTTGTAGGCTGGATCCTGCTGGTGGTCCCATCTAGTTCCTGGGGCAGGCGCTGTGGGGTCCCATCTGGTTACATGGAGCAAGGCAGCCCGGCTCTCCTCCAGCCACGTGGGGAAAGGGAGCTTAGCTTGCCCTGGAGGGGTATGGAGGTGTGGCCAGGCCCTAATCCAGCCATGCAGGGGAAGAGGGCATGGCCTGGCCCTGATCTAGACATGTGACAATTGGGAGGAGGAGGCAGTCCACCCTGACCTGCCATGCAGGGCTTGCCAATTAGGCAGTGGGGAAGGGTGGCCATATTAATGGCCATTGCTTCCCCATCAAAAAATGTCCTAACCTGTGGGGAGACCTGAAGGCTAGATGCCATAGCTCCATGGGTCACGTTTGGCCCATAGGCTGGAGGTTGAGAACCCTTGGTCTAGGACAGTGGTTCCCAACCTAGGGTTGTGAAGAACACGTCTGGGTTCATTGATGGCACTTCCATGTGCAGTGCTTCTGGGTTTGCTGCCGAGTGTAGCATGGGTGCATGGGGGACCCCCTCTCCAAAAAGGTTGGGAACCACTGGTCAAGGGGAAGGGACACACTATTGGGGGTCAGGAACTTCATTTAATTCCTAGCTCTTCCATTACTGTTTCTGTTACTTCTTCCACCTTTATCTATCTATAGTTATATATGCTGTATGGTGAGAGCTCCAAGCATTACTGTAATTCAAATAATAATGCAAAGCATTGGGCAGCTTCTTAAAAGTTGTCTGTTTTGCCTTCTGTGCTGCAAACTGGAAGAAACTTGAGCTGTGGCCTCAAGAAGTAGCACTATCCCCAACCCTCTGTTTTCTATTCTGTGACACTGAGTTTGGAATACATAGGGCACCTATACACGTGCTGGAGCTGTGCTCCAACACATACTAATTAGCACACATTGGAGCAGACTCAATCAAGTTTGTTGCGAGTCTGCTGGAGTGTGCTAGTAAGTGCACTCCAGCAGCCTCCATGTCATGTGTATTCAGTGTCCCCACATTTCAAAATGGCAGCAGGGGCATTTAACTAAAGCTTGTCAAACAAGCTTTGATGAGCTTTAGTTAAAGTGCCTCCACCACCATTTTGAAGCACGGGATACTGAATACATGTGACACTGTAGGCACTTTAACTACAGCAGCACTCAGACCCTCTGTAATTAAAGCACCTGCTCCCACTCCACCCCAGAGCACATGTATTGAGACCCATAATGGCTGGTAATGTATGCCTCAAAGACAGAGTTGTGCTCAACTTTCTGGCTAAGGGGGATGAAAAGAGAACCCATAAAGACATGGGGAGCAGAAAACAGGCCACAGAAAATTGGGGCAGGCAAGAAAAGAAGGACTGAAGAGGGAAGACAGAGAGAGAGAGGAAAAGTCCTGCTGACACTTGATTTTATTGCAAGTCTTGCAGTATTCAGTGCTGTTTTTTTTAAAGCACTCCCCCTGCCTCCTCCCAGCTAAATATCATTTTTTAACATTTGGAAACTGTAGAATTTACAAAAAAACACAAATGAACAGGACAGGTGAATTAGTGGTGACTGTGTCAAAGCATAGTATGAAGGAATATTTGTGGCTGTGCCTAGCCAACATTACAAAGAAAGGATGGTTACAAATAGGGTGCAGCGTGCATTTGTATGTGAGATATAATGTTTTAGGGGTCTTGGCTGTTTTTTTTGCAAATCAGAAGAAGAATGTGTAGTCAAGGAAATGAAGCATTCTACCCTTGTGCTTTGATTCACAATACCCAAATCTGGGCTGCTGTATTTTCCAGTGAATAGCAATGCAGATGCAGGGCAGTCTGCATAACTGCTATTGTATTCACATGTACTGAACTGATGTTGTATAGAAAGAACTGCATTCAAATGGAGCATTTCATGTTTCTGAAAACTGCAGAAATGTTCAATGAAGCGGTTAGTATAATGTCTATGTATGACAGTTATCTCCATTCTGTACATTATGGCAGCTACTGTTTAATTTTAATTTGCAGCTATTTAAAATTGTTATGGGAATCAAAACTGCAGTATTTTTGGTTTTCATGAAAGAATGGACATTAGAGATGGATCCAGGTGTAATAGGTTATAAAATGTGTAATCCTGCTGGGAACTGTGATCCCCTGTGAGATATTGAATTCCCTCACAGGTCCTGCTCTGCTAATACTAGTCTATTCCCTCTGATAAAAATATCAGGATTTTGTCCTGGTCATTTTAAATGGTTTGAATGCTGAGACCCTTCCCTTAGAATACCATTCCACTTTCTGAAGTCTTGCCCTTTAGGGTAATTTTTCATGAGATCTGGCCTACCCTTTCCTTTGCTTAATTTAATTCTATTGCTTTTAATTTCATTCTAACAACTTCTCCCAACCCTTTAGGTTTATTATACACTGTTCAAGTGAAATCCCAGATATGCCATTTCCTAATTTGGGGGAAGAGAGGGAATTCACAAGTACTTGCCAAACAGACTGTCAAAGTTAGCTTTGTTAGATATAGGTAGTCTTCTATTGTGAAAAAATCTCAAAGTGATTATAGATTCATAGATTGTTAGGGGCTGGAAGGGACCTCGGAAGATCATTGGGTCCACCCCCCCTGCACTAGGCAGGAAAGACAACTGGGGTCAGGTGACCCCAGCAAGGTGACCATCCTGTCTCCTCTTGAAGATTTCCAGGGTAGGTGATTGCACCACCTCTGGAGAGAGTTTATTCCAGTCTGGACACCCTGACTGTGAAGAAGTTTTTCCTAGGTCAGGTGACTGCTTCATTTATTATGTGACAAATAAACTCAGTTACTCTATAGGGAGTAGTGTTGGAATGATGTTGTAGCCCTGATAATCCAAGAAATATGAAAGGCAAAGATTTTTGTTGGGGGATATTTTTCATTGGACCAATTTCATGTTTGGGATAGTTTTAGACAAACTTTTCATTTCAGGGCATTCTACTTCAAGCCTAAAAAAATAGCAGGAACAGCTAGAACTAAAAACAGTCTGCAGGGCTGTGATACTGGAGAACTGAGACATTACCAGGAGTAGTTAGCAGATGAGAAAA